CTGTCTCTACTAAAAATAGAAAAACTAGCAGGGCGTTGTGGCAGGCACCTGTAGTCACAGCTACTTGGCTGAGGCAGGAGGATTGTTCAAGCCCAGGAGTTCGCGGCTTCTGTGAGCTATGGTGCCACGGCACTCTAGCCCGGGCAACAGAATGATACTGTTCCAAAGAAAAAAAAAGTTCACCCGTGTTTTGGGATGGGTCGTTCCCTCTTTTTTTTTTTTTTTTTTTTTTTTTTTTGAGACAGAGTCTCATTACATCGCTCTTGGTAGAGTGCTGTGGTGTCACAGCTCACAGTAACCTCAGACCTTTGGGCTTCAGTGATTCTCTTGCCTCAGCCTCCCAAGTAGCTGGGACTACAGGCACCCGCCACAACACCTGGCTATTTTTTGGTTGTAGTGTCGTCGTTTGGCAGGCCTGGGCTGGGTTTGAACCTGCCAGCTTTGGTGTATGTGGCCAGCGCCCCAGCTGCTGAGCTATAGATGCTGAGCCCTCATTCCTTTTTGGTGGCTGAATAATATTTCATTGTCAGGAGGGGATTATTCTATTCACCCAGCCACTGAAGGACTCTTGAGTTCTATGTGTTAGTGGCTGTAAACAGTGCTGTGTTTTCTTAATACTTGGATTTGCTTCTCTAACGCCTGGTTCTTCTTTTGTCTGTGTCCCTTGTGTCACTGGCTCACCTGGTCCCTCCCTGTCCTCACACCAGGAGTGGTTTAACGTCTATGAACGCAACCGGCAGACTTCCTGTACTGTGTCTGAACTCATCATAGGCAATGAATACTACTTCCGTGTTTTCACGGAGAACATCTGTGGGCTCAGCGACTCACCTGGTGTCTCCAAGAACACAGCCCGAATCCTCAAGAAAGGTGCTGCCCTCCCCATCCACAGGTCCCAGTTTCACCCCCCACCCCTTGGCTGGGGTCCCAACTAGACTTCTCTGTCCTGACCCCCTGGCCATGGGGGAGAGGTGGTTGCAGTTTGTTCCCTGGTTGGGGTCAGGGGACAATCCAGATCAGCCACCTTACAGGTATATTCCCCCCTCACCAGGTATCACCTTCAAACCATTTGAGTACCAGGAGCATGACTTCCGGATGCCTCCCAAGTTCTTGACGCCTCTCATAGACCGGGTGGTGGTGGCGGGGTACTCAGCAGCTCTCAACTGCGCTGTCAGAGGCTATCCAAAGGTGCCGGGTGGGGTGCAGATCTGTGTGTATGTCAGTATGTGTGTGGGGACCCTGGTATCGTATCTTTCACATGATGAAACCCCTGCCTACCACTACACCAGCTCTTTCCCCTGGGTTCTCCTGTTTTGTGGGATTTGCTCACTTTTTTTTTTTTTTGAGACAGAGTCTTACTTTATTGCCCTTGGTAGAGTGCTGTGGCGTCACACAGCTCATAGCAACCTCTAATTCCTGGGCTTAGGCAATTCTCTTGCCTTAGCCTCCTGAGTAGCTGGACTACAGGCACCTGCCTTAATACCCAGCTATTTTTTTGTTGCAGTTTGGCTGGGGCTGGGTTTGAACCTGCCACCCTCAGTATATGGGGCTGTGGTGCCCTACCCCCTGAGCCACAGGCGCCACCCCAGGATTTGCTTACTTTTAACCCACTTCCTATTTCTCTCCTCTGTCTAGAGCCCAAGTCTCAGACAATTGTCCCCTGTCTTCTTATCTTTTCCTTTGCCTCACAACTGCAAGGCAACAGCTCATCCCAGCAGTCTGAGGAGAGGACCAGTCTCTCTTGCCCTGTCTAAGGACAAACTCCAATCCCTTGGAAAAGGAAACCTTTGGGGATCGGGTAGTCTAACCCCCATGGCTCTTGGTTCCTAGACTGCTGTTTGGGAGTATGGGTGCTTGCAGCCTTGCCCTCGAGTGGCTCATCTAGGAAAGGGATTGGCAAAATTATGGCCCACAGGCCAAATCCACTTGCCACTTAGTTCTCTCAATAAAGTTTTATTGGAACATGAGCCACACGCATTTGTTTACATTTTAGTGGCACAGTTGAACAGTTACAACAGAGAATGTAGGGCCTAACTGGCCCTTTGTAGGGACAGCCTGCTGACTTCTGGTCTAGACCCCAGGAACTTAGTTCCAGCACCATTAGGCCCATAGTGGATTCATCTCTTCTCCTTTATTCACTAACTCCACTCATTCATTCCACTCATTTACTCACCTGCCAATCCATTCATTGACTCAGTTCATTCATTCACTCCATTTGTTTATTTAATTGCTCATTCACTCATTTGTTCATTCTTTCAACAAACTATTTTTTTCTTGAGACAGTTTTACAATGTCACCATTGGTAGAGTACTGTGGTGTCACAGTTCACAGCAACTTCAAACTTCTGGGCTTAAGCAATTCTCTTGCCTCGGCCTCCCGGTAGCTGGGACTATAGGCACCTGTCACAACGCTTGGCTATTTTTTGTTGCAGTTGTCATTGTTGTTTAGCTGACCAGGACTAGCTACACCAGGGCTCGGTGTACATGGCTAGCACCATAACCACTGTGCTATGGGTGCGGAGCCAAACATTTTTAGACTTTCTATCCACTAGGTGAATCAAACAAGAAGTTTCCTGTATATTGGGGGAGACCAACATTAACCTAAAGTCACACAAATAACATAAAACTAAAAATAGAGGCAAGAATGCCAGAGGAAAGCAGGCAGTTATGGGAGCGTGAATAGGTGTTGCTATTCCAGTCTAGCGGCCCAGGACTTGTGAGCTGAGGCCTGAAGGATAGGCAGGTGCTAATCAGGTTAAAAAAAAAAGGGAGAGAAGGGAAGTAATTGGAAGAGGGAATAGCCAGTGTCAAAGCCTGAAGTGGGAACCTACCTGGTCTGTTTTAAGTAACAGTGAGGGTGCCAGTGTGGTTGGGTGGCTGGAGGGAGTGTGCAGAGGAGTAATAGGACCAAACCATGTAGGGCCCTGTGGGCTGCTATGAGGAGTGAACTCTTGGTTCTGAGAGAAATGGGAGGTAGGGGTTATCAACCTGGTATCACAGAGGAGGAGACTGAGGGTCAGAGAGTAGAAGTGACTTTCCAAGAATATCCAGCAAGGAGGTGGCACACCTTAGAACCCAAATCTTTCTCCTGAGCTCCATTTTGCCATTGCCCCAAGGGACTCTAAGTTGGCCTCTTCTCCTGCTCCCATCAACAGCCAAAGGTTTACTGGATGAAGAACAAGATGGAAATCCGTGAAGATCCCAAGTTCGTGATGACCAACTACCAGGGAGTCCTGACGCTGAACATCCGCCGCCCCTCACCCTTCGATGCCGGGACTTACACCTGCCGGGCTGTCAATGAGCTGGGTGAGGCACTGGCCGAGTGCAAGCTGGATGTCCGAGGTGAGAACAGGCAGCTCCCAAACTGGCTGGCCTTTATTTAGGCCTTTTGCAAATCTAACTAACTGCTGTGTGCTGAGTGCTGCTGAGGTCTAGAGAGGAGTCAGGCCCAGACTCTAGCATGATGGGGAAGCTGGTTTGGATGCAAATAGGAAAGATAAGTGATATGTGCTGAAACAAAGACAGCACAGGGGGGAGTCCCTGCAGAAGAGTTTCTTCAAAGTAGTTGAAGGACAAAGAAGAGGGATGTGAGTGAGGGAAGACCTTAGCAAATGTCCCCAAGGCTGCTAGTGTGCCTGGGCCCAAGTAGATAGAGGAGGTGACTCAGATGAAACAAATAGGGATAATGTCAAGAACAACCTCCTTGGGTGGCACCTGTGGCTCAAAGGAGTAGGGCACTGGCCCCATATGCGAGAGGTGGTGGGTTCAAACCCAGCCTCAGCCAAAAACTGCAAAAAAAAAAAAAAAAAAAAAAAGAACAACCTCCTCAGCTGTCCTCAAGCTCCCTCCCTCTTGTCTCTGCCTCCCCCCTCCCACTCCCTCCTCTTTGCTCCACAGCTCTGGCCCCAGTGGAAGCTCCATCTGGATCCCTTTCCCAGTCTCCCTGCCTATAGTCCTTCTGTCCTGTCCATCCCCACATGACATAGAGGGGTCTCTGTGTCCACAGCTGATCTGCCCTTTCCCTGCTCTCAGCCTTCCCAGGGCTCCCCAGTACCCTTGGAGCCTCTTGGCTTGGTGTTTACCATCCTACTTCTGGCCTCCAGCCCCCACCTGCCTCATGTTCTCCTACTTCCCTCCACGCTGTGTGCCAACCACACCAAGCTGTTGGCCAAACTGGCCAGGCTTTCTCCTGTTGGGGGTTTGCTCATGCTGTTCCCTGGAACCCACTTCCTTTGCCTTGGGCTCTGATTGGACATCAGTCAGTCAAGGCTTCGCGAGGAGCCCACTAACAAAGTCCCTTAGAGCAGGTTGACATCAGTGTGGACTTCCAGAGTCCCCCATGGTAATTTTGAACTATACAGACTTTCCCTGTCCTTGAGGACAGCCCAGCAGACAGAAGTGGCTGGGGACCCTTAATAAGGGCTCTGAGAGGACACTTTCTAAGCCTGAGTATCTGTCATTGTAGATCATTGCCCTTCCAGACTGACCCAACTTTTAATATTCTGCTGTCCCTTTATCAACTATTGAATCAGCTTAGAAATACTCCAACTTCAGGGTTCCAATCACTGCTATAGCCAATAGCTGATCAGAACACCTCAGTGACAGTAACCAGGAGTACCCTGACACTGGGTTGAGTGGCCAGGCACAGGTACACAGTGGTAAAGTGTTACTTTGTTCCCTTGGTGGTAACAGCAGGTAGAGGAGTATGGGAAAGGCACAGGACTTTAGGAACAGGTGTGCCTGGGGTCTGTTCCACCCACTCTTTCCCCTTTGTCCCTACAGTGTTGTAGTGAAATGGTCTCCTGCCATCAAGACAGCCAGCTGCTGAGTCCTAACTGCCATTCCAGACCTCTGGGACTATGCATCCCTTTCTGGAGTTGTCACTAAGCACAAAACAGGCTTGTCTGGGATTCTCACGTGTCTGTCCTTCTTGAGTCTGTAGTCTGCCTTCCTCCTCCTATGGGGCGTTAATCACATTCAAACAGACCAAAGTGAACAGCCATCTCAGAACAACTACTTTAGTGGGGCAACTACATTGCCATGGCAACTACAAAAGTGGCCAGTGAGCCCAGGGGGAGGCAGTTCCCAGGCTGGCTACTGGGAGCTGGGGAGGATGCAGGGTGGTTGCAATGGCAACAACCACAGGCCAGATTGAGAAGGCTGCTCCACTGAGGCAGCCACGTCCACATGGTGGACACCAGGTCGCAATGGTGGCCCAAGGAGCAAGACATGGTGAAACTAAAGACCAGGTGGAAGTGCCATACTGGAAAAGCTACTTCTGTCAGGCAGCCATGTTGAATCGGTGGCGCTGGCGGAGCTGCTCATGACCTGATCTTTATTAACTTTAATAACTCATCTGTCTGGCCTGAGGCAGAGTACTTTGATCTCTAGTCCTTTGTTGACCTCAAAGGATGTTGGAAGAATCAGAGTCCCCAGAGTTCAGAGGTCTGTGGGTCAAGTCTGGCTTCCAAGGCTTGAAGCTGGGGGTAAGGGAGAATGGGCTTCAGAGGAAGCCCTCTTTAGGGGGGCCTTGTACTTACAGGGAAGGCAGAGCCCCACAGGTTGCAGTGCCCCTGCCCTCCCCTCAGCTCTTGAGTATAGGGAACTGGACCCCTGGCCTGGCTGACACTACCCCTTCAGATCCCTCTTTAGCATGTCAGGGAAGAGGCTGGGGGACAGTGTGGGTTGGTGTGTTCCCAATTAGGACACTACAGTCACCTAAGCTCAGGGCACCAAGGCCCTGCACACACTGCTGTCTCCTACCTAGTCTTCACATGCCTTGCAGACTCGAAGTCTGGGCAGGTCTCTGCCACTCTAAGACCCAGATAGCCAGTCCCCTGACCCTCTTATCTTTCAGACCCTGGGGTCTAGGCCCCTAGCCCCTCCTCCCTCAGACCCAGTGGTCTGCCCCCAGCCCCGCCTCCTTCAGATGGAAGTGGGGAGAGGGGGTTGGCCAGGAGTCTCCTCCCCCAGCCCACTCACTTGCCTCTTCTCTGCCCTCTTACCCCCCTCTGCACCTCTTCGCACTCCAGCTGTGCTTCATTTTCCTCATCCTCATCCTCGTAGTCCTGGTCCTCTGGCATCGAGTACTCCTGCGTGAAGGGCACGGGTCCCTGGACCGAGTGGAAGCGCAGGCGGTAGAGCAGCCGCACCCACTGGCCAAATTCGCGGTCACGGGTCTCCGGCTGGGCCCGCAGCTGCAAGTAGAAGGCTCGGCCTGTGCGGAACTTGACCTTGAGCTGGCAGCGGCTTTCATCGTGGACGAAGAGCTGGACAAATTGCAAGGGGAACAGCCTGGGCGGAGGGAAGCCGGGCCTCAGGTTCTGCCCCACTGACTCAGCCCTGGCACCCTCAGGGTCCCCTTGCCGTGCCATTCCTCCCCTAAACCCCAAGGAATCCTTTTTCATTTTCATTGCCTTTTGATTTTACGACCATCCCCAGCTTTCTTCCAGCCACATATCATTCTTTTTTTTTTAATTTTTCCTATTTTTATTTTATTTATTTATTTATTTATTTTGAGACAGAGCCTCAAGCTGTCCCCCTGGGTAGAGAGCTGTGGCATCACAGCTCACGGCAACCTCCAACTCCTGGGCTCAAGCGAGTCT